CCTGGTTTAGTCCTAGTCCTGGTTTAGTCCTGGTTTAGTTACCTGGTTTAGTCCTGGTTTAGTCCTGGTTTAGTCCTGGTCCAGTACCTGGTTTAGTCCTGGTTTAGTCCTGGTCCAGTACCTGGTTTAGTCCTGGTTTAGTCCTGGTTTAGTCCTGGTTTAGTCCTGGTTTAGTCTGGTTTAGTCCTGGTCCTGGTTAGTCCTGGTCCTGGTCCAGTACCTGGTTTAGTCCTGGTTAGTCCTGTTTAGTCCTGGTCCAGTACCTGGTTTACTGGTTTAGTCCTGGTTTAGTCCTGGTTTAGTCCTGGTTTTAGTCCTGGTTTAGTCCTGGTTTAGTCCTGGTCCAGTACCTGGGGGAGTACTCGAGCTGTGAGTGCAGTTGGTAGTACCAGTCTGCGTCTGGCTGCAGGTCAGTCGTGGTCACTCCGGTCGTCAGACTCTGCTGGTGGTTGGTCCAGGACACACTGATGTGTTCGGGGTAAAAGCCGTAGACGCTGCAGACCAGGACCCTGTCACTGCCAGCAGAGGGCGCTGAGCTCAGCACCGCGTACGGCTCCACTGGAACACACACCGAGTCATATACACACACACCGAGTCATATACACACACACACACCGAGTCATATACACACACACACCGAGTCATATACACACACCGAGTCATATACACACACACACACACACACCGAGTCATATACACACACACACCGAGTCATATACACACACACACACCGAGTCATATACACACACACACCGAGTCATATACACACACCGAGTCATATACACACACACCGAGTCATATAAACACACACACACACCGAGTCATACACACACCGAGTCATATACACACACACCGAGTCATATACACACACCGAGTCATATACACACACACCGAGTCATATACACACACACACCGAGTCATATACACACACACACACCGAGTCATATACACACACACCGAGTCATATACACACACACACCGAGACATATACACACACACCGAGTCATATACACACACACACACCGAGTCATATACACACACACACCGAGTCATATACACACACACCGAGTCATATACACACACACCGAGTCATATACACACACACGAGACATATACACACACACCGAGTCATATGCACACACATACCGAGTCATATACACACACACACGAGTCATATACACACACACCGAGTCATATACACACACACACCGAGTCATATACACACACCGAGTCATATACACACACACCGAGTCATATACACACACACCGAGTCATATACACACACCGAGTCATACACACACACCGAGTCATATACACACACACACACACCGAGTCATATACACACACACACCGAGTCATATACACACACCGAGTCATATACACACACACCGAGTCATATACACACACCGAGTCATATACACACACACACCGAGTCATATACACACACACCGAGTCATATACACACACACACACGAGTCATATACACACACACCGAGTCATACACACACACACACACCGAGTCATATACACACACACCGAGTCATACACACACACACACCGAGTCATATACACACACACCGAGTCATATACACACACACGAGTCATATACACACACCGAGTCATACACACACACCGAGTCATACACACACACCGAGTTCATATACACACACACCAGTCATATACACACACCGAGTCATACACGAGTCATATACACACACACACCGAGCGATCATATACACACACACACCGAGTCATATCATATACACACACACCGAGTCATATACACACACACACACACACCCGAGTCATATATACACACACACCGAGTCATATACACACACACCGAGTCATATACACACACCGAGTCATATACACACACCGATCATATACACACACCGAGTCATATACACACACCGAGTCATACACACACATACACACACACCGAGTCATACACACACACACACACACACACACACACACACACACCATCAACACACACACCGAGTCATATACACACACACACACCGAGTCAATATACACACACACCGAGTCATATACACACACCGAGTCATATACACACACACACACCGAGTCATATACACACACCGAGTCATACACACACACCGAGTCATATACACACACACACAGAGTCATATACACACACACCGAGTCATATACACACACACCGAGTCATACACACACACACACACACACCGAGTCATACACACACACAGTCATACACACACCGAGTCATACACACACACACAGTCATACACACACACATACACACCGAGTCATATACACACACCGAGTCATATACACACACCGATACACACACACCGAGTCATATACACACACCGAGTCATATATACACACACCGAGTCATATACACACACACACACACCGAGTCATACACACACACACCGAGTCATATACACACACCGAGTCATATACACACACACGAGTCATATACACACACATACACACACCGAGTCATATACACACACCGAGTCATATCGAGTCATACACACACACCGAGTCATATACACACTGAGTCATACAGACGCCGAGTCATACACACACAGGGTCATGTGACCTGGACTCACCTGATTTGGAGAGGATGGCATCCACATCGATCTTGACATTGGGAACACAGATGTGTCCTTCAGATGTCTCCATATCTCGAGATCTGCATCTTTGTTCCAGTCTCTCTGCGTTCTTCACTCCAATACTCTGTGTATCCCACAAACTTTCTCACTCGACTGTCAAACCTGATGTGCTCCAGTTTATTGTAGAACCAAGAGTTAATGAACTGTATGTCCTCAGACTCAGTGGAGTTAAACTCACAGCGACTCACCCCACCATTTAAATATCCACCTGAAACAGAGACAGGTGTGACAGGTGTGACAGGTGTGACAGGTGTGACAGGTGTTTAAATAAAACACAAATAGATGAAGTTGAGTCTGAGATCATTAAACTCACGACAGGAAAAAATATTTAACACAATTTCACTCAAATGTGACGACAAACAAAACAAAACCTGAAATATACGACACAAATCACACACTCAGACCAGATTTATATAAATGTCTTTTTCTTCACATTTGTTCCTGTTATTTATTTATTTTTAAAGTTATAAATTATTCTAGTTTGTTTGAGGTTGAATAAAATAATAAAATAATAAAATAAAGTCTCACCTGTTGTTTGAATCTCCAGCAGCAGCAGCAGAACGAACACACACACACTGACCCCCCTCATGTCTGACCTCTGACCTGTGACCTGTGACCTCTGACTCTGACTCTGACACAGTGTTTGTCCTGAAGCTGGAGTCAGTCTGACTCTTTTTCTCTCTGCAGTTGTATTAAACCCTCAGGTCATGTGACTCTGTATTAAACTCAGGTCATGTGACTCAGTGTCACCTGTTGCCGGGCAGACTGTTGTCAGAAACTCACCGTCTACATTTATCTGTCCGACTTTATGGACATTTACAATAATAATAATGATAATAATAATAATAATAATAATAATAATAATAATAATAATAATAATAATAATAATAATAATAATGATAATAATAATAATAATAATAATAATGATGATAATAATAATAATAATAATAATAATAATAATAAT